GGGATGGAGATAAATAGAGCTATCAAGTGGTAGCTGTTACGGCTTGGAGATGAATTCAATTGGGTTCGGATCATAAATACCAATCTCTTTAGTACACAAAGCACCGCTAATTAGTTGCAGCGCTACACATCGACACAACTGTCATTTACACAGTGTACATGTGTGCGTAATTTCATATAACTGTATATAAAAATATTCGTCCACCACGTTCACATTGGTATTTTCATTCTTGTGTCGGTATACGTATTTTTATAATTTAATGCATAGGTAAGGTTAAAACTATTTACAATCATTGATATGACCCGACATTTTCACTGTCATTATCGTAGTGCTCGTGGTCGATTGGTTAATGAGCACGCTTTTATCGTCTTTCAAGGATCAATGATGTGGGTTCTATTCCAGCTAAAAGTTAATTTTATTTTACCTTGTTATTTTTCTTATTTTTTTTTTGTTTTTTGTCATAAAATATAAATATCAGGCTATAAAAGAAGCAAATGAGTTGGTAAATAAAACAATACTATTTTTTATTACAATTAATTTATTTATTATACAAATATGTTGTTTTATATTCAATATTTATATCTAATAATTAATTATATACCACATGTTAAGTTTAAAGTTCTTTAAATCATAATTAATAGATATGACAATAAACCTCATAGTCGAATCGGGAAATATCATGCGGTACAGCGGTAATACGATGGCAGCAACATTTTTTATTAAGTAGGTAATAAACAAATATACAACATTCTTGTTTTGTAATTTAATAATATAATGTATTATTAAATTACAGTTTTACAGTAATAAACAAGTAAAACATGTAAAAAATTACATGTAAAATATTTCTTGAAATGGGCGACTTTTTGTCGTTTGAACTTCCATTAATTATCTATTTTACGACGGTTGTTATAAGGTTCAATATTCAGTGGGCTGTATGATAGTAAAAAGAATGTGACGAATGCTATGGAACGATTTTAACTTTCATGACCTTTAGAATCAGGGAAACTTTAAATTAATTGAAGATGGGCGTAAATATAATATGTCAATCAAGTTCGAAAGCAGTTAAATAAATTTGTTAATGAAAAATTAAAGTGAAGTGAATAAACATGTTGAATAGAAAGAAATTATGACAATTTCTAACCACAAAACAATAACATCTTCACCGTATGTTCTAGACAGCATTTTAATATTCTTAAAAAAATTAAACATTATTTTATGTTAATTTTAATAAAGGCAGAGTTTGACAGGCTCAATAATTGATTCCGAAATCAATACAATCACTGATCCTACAAGGCAGAAGGTTGCAATTCGTATACCTTTCTCCATCTTTTCTTCACAATATTTTACGCCCATCCTTATCCGACTTGAAAGTCTTTTCGTCGCTCAATATGATTACACTGTTCGCCCAATCAAAATTAATAAAGTCCTTAGCAAATTCTTAGCGCTTTTGCTGGTGAACCACAGATAACAATATTTTCTTCTCTGGCTTCCTGCACCTTAAACCAGAATGCAGGTGTCTCCGTACAGTTTGTATTAAAACATTCAGTGCTGTCGCTGTAGTGCGGGTTGGCAGGAACGGATCAGCCATGTGCCTGGCTACGATGTCGTAGTGCCGAGCCGATGAATTTGCCTTTGGTTTAGGCCCACGTCGACGATGTTTAACGTCACCGGTCTCCGCATATCTGTGCACCCATAACTGCATGGATCTCCTCTGTTGATACCAAACAAATAAGTATTTAAAATACCAGGAAATACTTTACAGGAATTAAAGTTACTTAAAAATAATAATAAATATAAGTAAACACAATGTTAGAATAATAATTTATAATTAAGTAGTGGCGTAAGGAATAAAAATCCCTAACCAGATATGTTTTAAAGAAACACTCCTAACAAAAACAAGTCAAGTTACAATACAATTAATAATAAATTATTAATATATCTTTATAATATTGAACTTCATAATAAGTTGCAATAATTATTTTATTCTAGTGCAAAAATTGATAGGTGTGTCGAGTTACAAAATGAAATAAATATTATTTAGAATATCAACGTAGTATCTTATTTACTCACCGATATCATTAAACGCCTTGCTATTTCAGTTATTGTTAGTTATGTTTTGCTCATGCAAAACAATGGTTTCAGCCTTTTTAAATGTTGATAGGTGTTGGAACATCTTGTAAAAATAAAAATAACTTTGCACACGAATATAAGTAGTGTAGCAATAAACTATGAAATCCTCATAAATTGACAACTAAGAACGCAATTATTTTGTAAGTCGGGTGATTTGAAAAACATGTTTTAAATAGTCGGTAGTTACTTCATAAGCGTGTAAAATAAAATGACTCGAGATTTCTATGGTCGCCACAAACATTGCAAATATACTCAGGTATCGAACCATTAAGAAATCACAGTTAATTACTTTTTTACTGTTTTTATCTTATTTAAGTTGGTTGAAATGCATGAAGCAAATGAGATTATTCTAAATAATAAATAACTAGAACTAAAATATAAATAAAAGATATTATAGGTATAAATAAATCTAAAGTATTTACTATTAAAATTAACATAAGATTTAGAACAATAGGAAAGGAAAAAAAAGAAAAGATTTAATTGTTTCTAATTTCAAATTTCAAATATTTGATAAATTAATTCTAAAACAACATGTGAATGTTGGAATCGATCCGGCGGCACTTTACTTGACAATCGGAGGCGATAACCATTGCGCCAAGCGCGCTGTAGATGAGATCATCGAAATATTTTATATCATTCAGTAACATAAAATTACAATGAGAAAGCACTATATTTATATGGGTATTGTATAGCTCGATCGTTCATTATTTTTGATTTCGATTTATTCAAAGTTTGTTATGAGTAATTTTATCTTTACCCTCGTTTTTATTTAAACTTATTTACTAAATTATTGCGTATACCGACACAAAAATGATTTTTAAATACCAAGATGTGTGTGATAGACGATTGTTTCTATACATATCTATTGATATGAAATTACCCACACATGTATATTGTGTAAATGATAGTTGTGTCGATGTGTAGCGCCGCTAACTAATTAGCGGTGCTTTGTGTACAATGATCTTATTGGAACTAGATGTGGCTTGAGGACGTGGTTGAGTTTGAACGTAATTGGTTACAGTGAGTGATGAAGTGACCAGGTTTCGTGTGGAGTGTTATTGGTTTTCTTTAGAATCTTTAAAGAAAAGAAGAAGTATTTAAACATAACACGTGAGATTTCTGAAGTAGTAGACAGATACAGTTATTCGTCTAACACTACGCACATTCCAAAATTAATGAGTTTTACCGGAAGCCCAATTACCCCCCTACCCATCTCCCCATTCCTCAAATTCCTAATCCCCAGAACGCTGGTAACGCACTTGTAACGCCTCTGATGTTTCAGGTGTCCAGGGCGACGCCAATTGCTTACCATCAGGTGATCCGTGTGATCGTTTACCGGCTTATCCCATAAGTTTTGAAATTCTTTAAACTTTCACATCACAGCAATCGTCTTATTACAAAATTTTATATATCTATGTACTAGCGATCCGCCCCGGCTTCGCACGGGTGTGATAAGCCTATATAAAACCGCATCAAAATCCGTTGCGTAGTTTGAAAGATCTAAGCATACATAGGGACAGACAGACGGCGGGTAACGACTTTGTTTTATATTATGTCGTGATCTTCACAAAGACGTTTGCCATGTGTATACAAGATTCCTGGATGTGTAAGAGCTGACTAGGTTCAACAACGTTTTGCTGATAAGCCAGAACCTTTAAAACTCCGATTTCTAACCAGCTTGATAAGCGAGGAGATTGTAGCAAAACTCTCTTAGGTACAGAAGAGTCATAGTACAGCAGAGAACTGTTAAAAGCTGCCAATAATGACGATGCATTTCAGTCTAACTTTCAAATAGTTTAGAACTGTCATCGACACACAAGTTCAAACTACGCTCCCATCAATCACTTCCAGTTGTACAATATCTTCGCAAGGAGCAGTTAGGGGTATCTTTTGTCAGTTTAATGTGTCCCCAATTCCCCCAGTATATGACCCGCGTGTTGATTACGTTATACTGTTGACTAAGTATTCTGGTCAAGTTAATATTAATTCGTAGTAAGGAGCTAATATGTTGATATGAACTTTAAAAGGACTTTTAAAGGAACTTTACCGTGTCAACAAACAAAGTATAAAATCTAAGTTCAGATGAGCCAAAACCATTATTATACTTTAGTGTTTTAAATTTTAAAAACATAGCATAACATCACGTCTTTTTATTCGCGAAGGTGTAGGCAGAGTTGCAATGCCACTGTACAATGTAACACCCACTTTTTACTATTTATGGTACGAGTTCCATGTAATAGGGGGTGAGCCTATTGCCATATATCGGGCACAGTTCCAGACTCTGCTATTACTGAGAATTTAAATAAATGCAGTAATACTTTGCCCGACCCGGGAATCGAACCGGAGGCCTCTTGTCCAGCAGTCGCAGTTGCGTCCACTCGGTCAACGAGGCAGTCAATATTAAAAAGTAAAAACAATGAATACATACTGTTAGGTTATAGATGCAGAGTATAATATTTTTATACAATAGCAACGCTTGGTAAATGATGTTCTTATTTAAATACTTCAGTTCCTTTAGGTTTTGTTATGCAGAGTATATTTTTATATAATGGCAACACTTGCTAAATGATGTTCGTAATTAAAATGCTTGCTAGATATTATTAAAATATTATTTGGTCGATGTTTTAATAGGTTAGTTATTTTTTTATTTTATTTAAATACTTTTACTATTATTACAAAAATATGAAATTTTTAGTTAATTAGTAAATTATTTGAGTGAAGGTCATTTTTAATGAATGTTTGTGTAGAATATGGCAATGTTAGATATTACACACTTTTGGCGGAAATTGAGAAAGTTCGGTCGATGGTTTCGGCTTAAATTGTAAAATTATATTAAATAAGTAATTGAAAGTCGTTACGAGTATTATTTCCTGACCCTAATAATACTAATAGTTTGTGGTAGTAGGTTCGTATTATTATGTCCGTCCTGATGTATGTTTGTATGTAGATTTGTTACTCTGTCACGCAAAAACTACTGAACAGAATTGAATGAAATTAGATACAGCGATAGAATACTTACTTGGGCAACTTTTTATTTTGGAAACGCTGATGAAGCAACTTATAGAATTTAGTTTCTAGATAGATTAAGTATAGTATGCTATTTACCTCAGAAGAATAATCTTGAAGACAGGTCCGACCAGCCCCTTGATGATAGCCGATGCGTTCAGGTGACACCTGCCATGGAGGACTATACCGTTGACCTGGAACAAATGAAGACTTGTGTCATTACAACAGCCATTACTGAACCATTGCAGTTCTGACGGCGTTTTTATAGCATAAGCTGGTAAACGAGCATACGGATGACCTGATGGTAAGCAATCGGCGCCGCCCATGGACACTCGAAACACCAAGGCGTTACAAGTGCGTTACCGGCCTTTTGGGAATTGGGAATTTGAGGATTGTGGAGGATTCGGGGATACGGGAGACGGGGACTAGGGAGGGGAGTAATTGGGCCTCCGGTAACCTCACTCATACGACGAAACACAACGCAAGCGTTGTTTCACGTCTGTTTTCTGTGGCTCTCCCATACTTACATTGGTCACCATATTTGCAGTTTCCGTGGATATGTTAAGTTTTAAATGGATTAAGAGACTACACGTTTAATAGAATATGGGCAGCAACACTCTCTGACATACCTGGATCTTTTATTTAAGACTCAAAAGTCAAAACATTTGATGTTAAATTTGAAAGTGTTGGTACCAGTATTCTATTCTACTTCAGTACTACTGTACGACTACAGTATTCTACTAGTATTCTCTTGTCTAACGGGTTTGAACTGTGATCTCCAAACCAAGACAAGAGAATTATAGCATAGAGGGTATGCTATAATCTCTTGTCTAACGGGTGATCCAGAGAAAGCCCATACAGAATATCATGAAAATTACGAAGTTCGAAAAACTAATGACTGTTGATGAAGTGAAAGAGGTAGGTAATAATCGTAGCAATTGACGTTCCATAGTCTCTGCCTACCCCCATGAGAGACGGGCGTGAGGTTAGGTATGTATTCTGAAGTTTGAAATTGAGCATTATTGGGAAATCCGAAACCTAGTGCCTAAATATGGTAACTTCAGCAATATAACGCATCATATTTAAGATTACTCAAGTTTTCCGGGCAAATAATGACACATGCAGGCGAAAGTATTTACCCTGTCACCCATGCAGTGCATGCCTACACACGTGCCACCTGTCACGGCATTGACAAGCTGTTGAACTGTCACGTTACGAATAAATGTGACACTCATACATGCATACATACATACAATTTGCATACTCATACATTTAACATTGTTCCTCGGTTTACATTGCAAACAATGTTTAGGTTTTAAATGAATATGTAGATTTTTATATTAGAATCATATTTAAATATATAGTATCTTACTTTTTTCGATAAATTCTGCATTTACAACAACAATAACACCTGATATTGCAGTGTAGAATATAGCGCCTGATAAAAATATGATAGCAAATTTCAAAGCGTAGTATTTGCTCTTCAGAAAATGTAAGGCGCTTCACGTTATAGTCGGATTATCTAATAAATGTCCGCTCAGTTGTTAATCTGTTTATGCTTCACCAGTTTCTACCTTAGAGTTCATTCTTATGAAATTATTATTGCTAGTAGAGGTAAGCACAGAAATATAATATCAAACAATTTCTGTATGAAAATAAACTAAAGCAAAGAAGAACTAAGGCAAGAAAATAAACTAAAACAACACTTGCATTCTATCGAAACTTTTTACATTTAATCTCTAACTATAGGATAAATCACTATAATGATACGTATTCATAGATAATTTTCTATTTTTTCCACGAAATTGTAGAGAGGACCTCTTTATCCGTCTCTTTGTTATGAGCTGGCCATTTATACTCTGAATTGAATGTAATGTGTGTGAAGATTGGCGTGTAATTGTAATTGGTTATCTAAAGATAGGATCTATGCTTATTACTTTTTAGGAACTAGAAGTTTTAATGGGATAAATGACATATTGCCGTCTATGAACACCGAGAACACCATGGGAGTTGCAAGTGCGTTACCGGCCTTTTAAAAAGGAATACGCTAAGATTTGGATATCGTCGATACCTTCGCGACAGACGCTCAATTGACTGTTCTATTATCAAGCCTTATTTTTTATATTTTTATATGTAATAGGAGGCAAAAGAACAGACGGATCACCTGGTGGTAAGTGATGAACGCCGCCCATCTACTCCCGCAACACTAGAGGAACCACAGGTGCGTTGCCGGCCATATAAAAAGGAATATGCTCTTTTCTTGAAGGTTTGAAGGTCATACTCATTCGGAAATACCGCCGACGACAGATCATCCCACAGTTTAGAAAAAGAAACTCAGACTCAACTCTAGAGGCAGAAAACTGCGGGAGAAGCGCACAGTTGTCTGGCCTGCCAACCATGTATATGATGGGAATGCATATGCTGTCGTGAGGGTCGATGGCGAAAAGACGCGTCATGTATCAGATCAAACAATTCCTCAACAAGAGGAAGAAGAGGATCACAGGTGCGTTGCCGGCATTATTGCGAAGGGATTCCAATTAACCGCTTCAATATATGTAAGCCACTACAAAAAATGCTTTGTGTCTCGCGTGGAGCCGCGTTTAGACACACGACTGGCTAATTAGTCCATATAACTTAAATTGCCTTGATCCGTAAATTCAATTTTCTAACCGTATATCCCCAAGCGGTCACCGGTGACCGCTCTCCACTAACTACATTGTAGACCTTATTTCCAATGTTTAGAGACTCCTTTTGTATTAACAAATTTAGGGGATGATTTTCAATGGCTTATCCTTACTTATATTATAAATCGGAAAGTGAGTTAGTTTGTTTGTTGGTTTGTTTGTTCCACTTTAACGACGTAACTACTGAACCGATTGCTTTGAAATTTTGCAGAGGTATAGTTAGAAGTCTGGATTAAATAATAGGGTACTTTTTATCCCGGAAAAATTGATGTTCCCGAGGGAAAACAAAAGTATTGGTATAGATGGCGCTGTGTGTATTGATATATGTCACATTGGCTACTTTTGTATCCTTTTGTGACGCGAGCGAAGCCGCGGATTAAAGCTAGTTTTTTAATAGTCCTGTTTTATAACCAGACCATCTTTAACATGTAACTAAAAGAAACAAATATTTGATTGGCCATAAAACGTAAACGGAAATCGGCAACAATTCATGTTTTGCGTTTGAGATAATGTTTCAATCCCAACGCGTAACTCCGGAATAGTTTCCATCTTGTTGCGGTTTGGGTATAAGTTAGTGATGAGCGGAGCGGACGTGGTAGCGATTTATAAAATACTTTTTTACAGTCATTAATTTAACTTTCAGTTATAGTGGCTTGTTATTCCACCGTTTAGTTGTTAATTGGTATATGTTCAATAGGATTGGTTTTTTTTAAAGGGAGGAAAATCATCCAATAACTGTTCCTGCCTGGGTGAGGCGGAAGGGAGTGTCAGACTCTTACTGACTAAAAACCACCCCGTTCCTTCTCCTGCACGTCGAGCCGGAGCTCCGGTAACCGCTTCTCCGCGACAATTTGGTTTAGGTACACGAATTGTGATGGTAATGCATGTGTAATAATTGCTTTAAACAGTGATCGATGTAGTTTTACTTTGAGATTATTATGTTCTTATAAGGTTTTGCTTGTATTTAATTTTAGACTCGTATTATTCTTTTTATAACCCAGAAAGAATTTACTCGGGTTATGAAGGCTAGCTCGCAATTCAACTCTTGCAATATATAGTTTCTTATTCCACAGACACTCAAAGTTTAATTTAATTTCGTTTCGAGATCTTGTGGGTGCATAACATCATCATAAATATAAATGTTTTCAGGGCACTCTATATACTCATAAGATAAACAAAATCACGACTCTGAAAGGATATTTTTTCTTCTTTTAACATAAAATCAGCAAATACTTAATAGAATAATAAATAAGTAATAATTTTAAGTGTGGGAGAGTCATGCTTAGGCAAGGGCCGGCTCGACAGGAGTGATACGGCCTTTTAGAAAACCGACGTGAAGCAACGCTTGCGTTGTGTTTCGTCGTGTGAGTGAGGTTACCGGAGGCCCAATTCCCCTCCTCTTCCCCAATCCCTGAATCCATACATACAATCCTCAAGGATTGTTGGGGATTCAGCCTTTTGGGGATTAGGAGCTTGAGCTCCTAATCCCCAAAAGGCCGGTAACGCACTTGTAAAGCCTCTTCTGGTGTTTCAGGTGTCCATGGGCGACGCCGATTGCTTACCATCAGGTGATCCGACTACACGTTTACCAGATTACGCATTTTTTTTTTAATAAAAAATATATCGGAATAACTATTACTTAAAATATAAATTAAAGCTGCTGAATTCCAATCGCATTGACGTCAATGCAATAGGAAACCGTTGCAGTTTTCGTAAGCTATTATAATTATTTCTCGGGCAGATTGGATTGGACTTCCGTCGGGCATAGTAACCTGTAATACGTGTCAGTTATTTAATATATCTCTTTTAGCGTATTAAATAGTTCTTTTTTTTAAACCATCTTCAGACCCGCTCCGTAACAAGTCGCTACCGTCTCCGCTAATCTCAGTGCACAACCTCAGTTGGCTCGCAGCCAGCACACAAGTAAGACGTGCCGGTAATTTATGTAAATATATCAACAGCGGTGCACTCTATCATTATATTATTTGTAATTGCTCGCCTCGATACATCAATTGGTTTGTTCGTTTACGCTGCTTAACAAGAATTATTGCGATTTTTTTTTTAAAATTATGAAGTACATATCTTTGGTTTTTTTTTGTTTCATGGGTAGTTTATTTTACTGTGTTTTTATTATAACTATCGTGAGACATACTAAATTAAATAAAATCGCGGGTTACTCACGTGAATATACTAAGAAAAGCTCTACTAGTTTCGAACCACAGAGGGGTTCTTCCTCATGAGCAGCGT